AAAAAAAGCAAACTCTATATAGCAAAAAAAAAAAGAAAAGAAAAGAAATTTCATAAGAAAAATATTCCTCCTGGATCAGGTTTCACATCTGATGTTGATGTTTCTTTCCAGATGACGACTGTGGGGATGGGAGTGATGAGGTGGGCTGTGTTCACTCTTGCTTTGATAACCAGTTCAGATGTTCCAGTGGCAGATGCATCCCAGGCCACTGGGCCTGTGATGGTGACAATGACTGTGGAGACTTCAGTGATGAAACCCAAATCAATTGTACCAAAGAAGGTTAGTAATTTTATAAATCTATGAAATCTCATTTTAAGTTGCTATATAATATTTGGAATATTTCAGAGTGAATATTATATAAAAGTAAATTGTTCACTAGATAAAAAATATACATGTGGAACTGTATGGAACAATTTGCTGATCTCTTTACTTTTACTCTTTGCTTATTTTTTCTTTGGTTTCTCATTTCAATACCTCTTTGTACCTTGATATCTTCTGTGGTCTTTGCTTCCCACATTCATTAGATGCTTTACTTACTACTATCTTAATCTCCCTCAAACCCACAAACTATCCCAAAGGTGAAAAAAGGAACAAGAAAGGTATAATTTTACTTTTATTTTTATACAAAAGTTGTTTCTTTAAGGTTTGAAATAATCCCTTATTAAATGGTGATATATCTCCAAGTGATTGGCTTCCTAGAATTCGAGCTAAGAGAAGATCATGAACATGGCTCTCAGTATGTTTACGAGGAGGATAACCTGACATTTGCATGAGTTATTTTGCAAAATTTGATCAGCCATAGAGCATGTTAATAAATTAGAAATCATGTTGGAAATATCTCAGAAAAAAATTATTAGCCTTTCAAACAATCGTACAGTTAGTACCATTTTTAACAGAAATCTTTCTTCTGCTAAGAAACTGAAAGATATTATTATTTATTCTTCAATTTATTCCACAAATATTTATTGAGGATTAAAGGATAGATAAAGGAATGAAAAACATGGTCCCTGCTCAGTTTAAATATCTAGCATGCAAACAAACAACAAAGTAATTTATTTAATGTGGTAGGATGATGCAAATCATATACTTTGTGATCATAAGAAAGGAAGGATTTTCAAAGTATTTTCCAAGGAGATACATTTGTCTTCTACAAATATTTTATAACCTATGCCATAGTCTCTAAATTGTTTTCTCTATCATGGATTCCTTTTGTCTTTCATTTCTTCTCTCTCTCTCTCTCTCTCTCTCCTGTAAGTTCTGGAAACAGTGGCTATTAAAGAAATTATTTATATAATACTAGGTTCTTAAAAGAATAATATTGGCTTTTTTGTAAATTCTCTAAGTGATTTATTAAAAGACATATTGTTTGGTTTTGATTTTACCTGGGTAACCTGGATTACAAGAGT